TTCATAATTGTAGTCCCCCTTACTTTATCTTTTGCTTGATTCATAAGATCAGACTAAACGATGGCAGCTTTGATAGGTTACTTGAATCTGGGCCTCATGTTTTGTGTAATGAAGGGAGAAATGACTCAGTCGACTGATGTCTGCCTCAATCTCTCTAATCATATCACTGAACCTTGAAGCTTATGTCTTTGTATCCTCCGTAATTGAATTGGGCTTAGATTAAATTGCATGACAGCACTCCTATTGTTTAGCTTCAAAATAGGACACAATTCTTCCTCAGTAAGACTGTAGGGCTGAATCGACTGTCAATGAAAAGCATAAATCAGTTCAGATATGTTCTCTCTTCCTCTCTCCTCATTCTGCTCAAAGTAAAGAGAATGGGAAAGTATCTACACAGCTGATTTAAGTTTTTTTGTTTTTTTGGTATGCAACCCTTTCAAGGTTTCTGCAGGTTATATGGAGGTCAGTTTAAGACTTTTTAAAGACCTTTTTAGATCTAAATAAAGAACTAAATGGATGGAATAAACTAAAGTAAGGAATACATTGAATGGAACATGTCAATATGCTCTCAAATGTAATTGTCTTGTATTAGTAACACTTCAGTGTTTAAAAATACATCTTGCTGATCTCCATTACTTTCTCATTTATTTTACAGAAGGAAAAAAAAACGTAAGGCTTGAATAGCTCTTTGAAACCACTAGAATATGGAAATAACTTTTACTGCAACTTCTGATCAAGGGTCCAGGTTTTATTATTCAGTTTTTATTGACAGTTTCACTGAGAATCAACTCATCAGTTTTGATCAACAAGCCATGTGCTTTTAGTTATTCTGCAAATTTTAGACAATTGCACTTACAATACACACACAATTTGCTGAAATCAACAAGAAATTCAAATCTGATGTGAACAAGAAACTAATTGTTCAGACATCTGAACTTATTGTTTTGAGAAAAAAAACTTTGAGAACTGAGCCAAAGTGATTGATAAAAACTGTAATTTATGGGGGGGGGGAGTAAGACCTCCAGAAACCCTGTTGATAGAGATTCATGTTTCAGTCACCACAAAGATTTGATTTCCAGTGATTTCCATTCAGATTTCCATCACACACAGTTTCTTTTGGTGCCAGATAAAACTGAATAGGCCTATCGTTTCCGCCTGTGGAGATAACCATAAAGACGATTTGCGCTATATGAGTATCTGAAGGTAGGCTACATCGACAAAATCATTTTATTATAGCCTCTGGGATAGGATAGGCTCCAACCCTCCACGACCCTGCAGAGGGTAAGCGGTATGGAAAATGGATATTGAAAATACAACACAAAACTATTTATCTTATTTCGCAACACGGAAGTAAGCTACTTTCTTTGAATGTGAGAGACTTCAAATTAATTAGCCGCTATTGATAAATAACTAGAATAGAATAACAAAGTGCAGTAAACGGTAAAACTATTTGTAAACTGTAATCTACAAACCAGTGTGTTTATAATAAAGTAAAATATGATAACAAATACCAGTTTGGAATATCCAGCAGCATGAAGGACTGTACTATACAGCTAAAATAAATGGAAACAAATGACACCGGAAGCCCCACAAGTTACAAATGGGTGCGCCCGCTTTTACGTCCAGAATAAGTCAGATGTCTGACAATTAGTTCATTGTAAAGGGATGTTCAACAGACAGTGTACTGAAACTTATTTACAGAAATTTCTTTTGAAAAGTTCATTTGCCCGAGATTTGTTAAAACAAACTTGTAGTGTAAAAGGCCTGTGTAAGTTACCAGGTAACTTGTAAGGTAACTTCCACTTACAACATGTCTGCACTTTTTTTAAGCCTGTTTGTTCAGTCCAGAACATAGACGCAAATGATTCATAGCTGCATTTGAGAGCATATTCAAGAGAAGCCAAAAACTACTGCATGGACTTTCCTGCTCAAGTCTTACACATCGGCCAAACTTTAAAGACAGAGAAACTCCAACAGATGTGCAAGAGAAACACACAGAGACTCTTCCAAGGAGCCTGGCAAAAGAATCGATTCAGGAAGTGGGTTTGGGATATAAACTCAATAGTGTGTTTATCTGCTGTTTTTCTGGTATGAATCAACATGGCAGTGATTCACGGCATAAATTCCAAACAGCGTAAAGCCAAGACAGGTTACTGCTCCATAGAACGGAAGTCATGACTCATATCATGATGACTGATGAAAGCATATACAAAGCAGGCCTAAATGAAAAGTGATTTAGATTACCTGAGGCAGATAGATAGAGAGAGAGAGAGAGAGAAAGAGAGACAGACAGATAGATAGATAGACAGATAGACAGACAGACAGATAGAAAGATAGATAGATATATAGACAGACAGGCAGGCAGGAAGACAGAGATAGATAGATAGATAGATAGATAGATAGATAGATAGATAGATAGT